GGGGGATCCATGGGCTGGGAGGGCTTTTCCAACCCCAATAATCCCATGGGAGAGGGTGAGGAGGGCTCAGTGTGGGTGCAGTGTTACTCTGGGGCTGCAGTGCTCTCCCAGGAGCAGCTCTTGGCTTGGGGGGCTCTGAGTGTTTGTCAGAGCAGCTTTTCCAGGCTTTTACTGAAATTCTCCTCCCTGTGCCTGAGGGAGTCTGTGAGGACTTGCTTGTGGGGTTGGGGACACTCTTAACACCCCAAACTGTGAGGGGAGGCTGCCGGGAGCAGTTGGAGTTTACAGAAATCATCCCTCAGTTACTGTTTGTGGAACAGTCACAGACTCTCCTGAGCAGGAGGGGACTCCCAAGGATTTTCCAAGTCCTGGCCCTGCCCAGGACACCCTAGCCATCCCACCAGGAAGTGTGGGATACTGGTTTGGTCTCTGGAGGTTCTGAGATGGGGGGAGGCTGCAGCTGCTCCCACTCTGCATTTGACTGTTCCCAGAAGGTGCTATTGAGTTTGGGGAAACAAATCCTTGTAATTCCAAGGCTGAGCAGATGGATTTAGTGCTTTCCCTGCAGGAGGCTGTGCTGGGCACAGCCTGTGTGATTCCTGAGCTGGGACTGGGGAGCTGCTAAACCTGGGCACAGGGAAAGGGGCACGTTTGGCTTTAGCTGCAGTTGTTGGTGTTGGGACAGCGCTGCCTTGAGAGGGGGTTTGGGAATATTCCCTGAGCTTTGAAGGGAATACTGGCATTTTTCTTTGGTGGATACTGGGATTTTTTTGGTGAATATGGGAATTTTTTATTGTTAATATGGCATTGTTTTGCCCAGTACTGGCGTTTTTTTGGGAATACTGTCATTCTCAGAGGAGGAGCTGCAGGCATTGGCCCCACTGTGGGAAAACACCACACACTCCCTGTCAGGATAGTGCTGGATTTGTTGACAAACTTAGGGACTGGGAGCAGAGTTTGTTCTTGTTTGTGATCAGGGAACAGGTCGGAGAGGGGCAGCCAGGGATGTGCAGTCACTGAACTGGGGGGCTGGAAATGGAACTTGGCCCTGTGGGAATGGGGCAGAACTCTTGGGAACAGCAAGCTGTGGGAAGTGGGGAGCAGAGGGAAGGTGCATTCCTGTCATCCTCCTGCAGTGCATTCCCACTTGTCACGTTTTAAGCAGTTGCCAGATAGGGTTGAACAGGAAAATCAGTCGTGGAAAGGCCTGGGAACGTTGTGGGAGCACAGTGTGGAAAGCAGAGCTGTGATCAGGGGTGACACCTCAGTGTTAGTGCCACCTCCTTACCTGTGCTGTCACTGGAATGTTGGTGCCCTTGTCCCCCTGGGGTTCTGGCAGGGTAGGAGTTGCTCAGTGTGCCCTAAACACGCTGCCATGGGTTCCATGGCTGAAGGATCCCAGAGGGATTGCTGCCCTCAGCCATGAGCGGGATGAAAAAGGAGTTTGCAGGATAAGCTTTCAATAAAACCTGAATTCTTCTTTTCAGGTCTTGGGAGAAGACCTGATCCATCCTGAAAATGTTCAACAAATCCTTTGGAACTCCATTTGGAGGCAGCACCGGCTTTGGGACAACTTCAACTTTTGGGCAAAGTAAGTCAAACGTGTCAGCTGAGTCGAAGGTGCTCTTTGGTGAGCTGTTCTTCCCTGGGGTGCAGCTCAGAGGGTCCTGTGGAGGGGCTGATCCCTTGAGGGGTGGGATTGGGGAGCTGCCGAGCTCTCCAGCTCACTTGGGTGGGGTTCA